GACTGTATTTTCTGAATTTCTTACTTTTTTATATGTGTAAGATTGTTTTAGTCTTTCTTTTATTTTGTAGATTGTTATAATTATCTATGTTAAGCGCTTTAGAGTTCACATAAGATAGGGCGCGATATAAAATACTACTTTTTTATCTTATTTTTTTTCAAGTTGTTATAATATTGATTTTTGCAATTTTTTTTAGTCTATGGCTCTTGTTTTTTCTATTTCATTGCACGTAAATGGCAATGGCAGTGACAGAATTGTAATTATAAATGCAATTTAAACGCAATATTGTTTCAAATTTATGCAAAATTGTAAAAATTGCAAATTGTAATGTAAATTTAGCTGTGGTTAAGGGGGGGGGGGGGGGGCTAAAGTAAATTATATTTTTATCAAATTTTAAGTCTTTATGGATACAATAAATATACATAATTGAATGGGGGGGGGGGGGGCAGGCCTTAAAAAATCCAAAAAAAACAATTTGTTCTCTCTCTTATTTTACTTTTAGATAATTTTAGGGGGCTTAAAGAACAAATACATTGATAGCAGCACGTGGTCTATTTTTAGCACAGAATTTTGTTTTCAAATCTATGGAGGGACATAACAATCTTTAAATGTAGAAGAGAATTACAGTTGCAAAATATTTCAAATAATATTTAACGCTTTTAAAAGAGGAATTGTGTTATAGTGTGGCTTGAAGTAATTTATTTAGTATTACATGTATTATCGAACAGTTGTTAAATAGTGCGTATTGAAATAAACTCCTTGTGTAGTGATCAAAGATAACTAACTTGTGTAAGTTTGCCACAGATAACTTATAATATCTATCAAAAGATTAATTATCAACAATGAAACACAAAGAAATTAAACACATAAAATCTATATGAAAAACCTTGCGTTAGTATCTATTAGTACCAGGGGTGATCAAAAATCTCGAACTATCTCTATATCTACAAAACCAAAATTTAATAGAAACAAATTTGGTGCACTCTCAAGTTCTATAAATAGCATATTCTGAATAAAGTTTTGCTCACAATGTGAAAATGAAGTCATTATGCAACGAAAAATGGTTGTCTCAGTGGAACTCATTCAACAAACGACTAAAATATTTATGGTATATCTTAAAAATGCCTCTGAAGTAACGTATAAGAATTTGTTCATAGTTTATTAAGACAAATGACTTCCTAATAATTCAATCTATGATTGGATAGATCGTTTTAGTGAAGGAAGGCAGATGGTTGAATATAATACTTGTTATGTTGCCCGGTGAAAGCAAGTTTGAAAATGGGTTTGTTTTTAATAAAGCAATATGCTATCAAAGATCTCCAATTTACACTTTGAAAAATACTTGATTATTTCAACAATAATATAACTATCAAATACCTAAGATATCGTTTACTTTTGATCACCCCCCCCCCCCCCGTATATACTCTGTCAAATAAACTTTTACAATTTTCATTACTGCGGAGAAACATTTGAAAAGGCATAAAATCATTCAAAGTGGGTTAGGAGATTTAATGAATAATTTTTTTTTATTTGCCCATTTTGTCAAAATTACAATTTTACAGGGTAAAGAAAAAAAATCAACAAAATAAAATATTTTATACCATCTTTAAAATGACGTTTGGTGGACCTCCCAACTCAGGGAAAATTATTGGGTGCCGGTCCGTATTTATAGGTGAGAAGAAAAAATTCATTAAAATTTAAACAAATTTGTTGACGGAAGAAAAAAAATATATCCTGTAATTGGATTAAAAATAAAATTGAGTCGGGCCATTTCTAGGCAGTAAATCGGGAGAGGGCAACCAAATAATTTTATAACAAATGGTCTTATAAGGCTAGTACATGTTTCATCACATACTTAGTAATGCAAAATTTTTAATCTTTGGCACTATTTTGAAAAAAGAACATAGGATTTTCGGAAGGGAGAGGAGGGGGGGGGGGGAGTTTCTCATTTTTTGCGATGGTAGACATAGCATATACAATGGGACCTTTGTTTGCAAACATTGTGATTGCTACTAAATTTCAAAGAAACAACTCAATATATTTCATCAAGCTTCGTATGTTCATTTTACAACGTAGTCAACATAATGCAATGCAAACAATCAAGCTATTTATGTGAGGTACAGAAAATAACTGCCTATTTTGTAAACAAAATAGACATATATACCAATCGAATGTAAGACATGTAATTGCAATTTGTTTTTCATGCACCGCATATTGTTTAACATTTTCAAATTAAATGCTAAGCATCCTCCTTGCAGTGCCCCATTTCAAAATAACTTCTATCGCCACAGAAAAAAAGACCCGACGTAAACACATATGTTTAGGGCATTTTTTATCTTTTTTCTTGAGTTTTAAAGAAACCAACAAATTATCAAGACTTGTTCCACGAAAAATTAAATATGATCATGGTAATAAACGCATCTATCTACAGCAGATATATCCACATGCCAACCATGTGCTCAGTGTAGTAATATTATTAGGAAAAGCTGCGCAATATTTTTCAATTTGCTAGTGGGGCAAAATTCGCGGTTTTTCATTAATCAGACGAAGCGATGCAACAAATAAAGTAGTGTAAAGTAGTGCAATATTGTAATGTAAATTTAGCTGTGGTTAAATTAAGGATATGAGAAAATGGATTTGTTTCTGGAGGAGATGTATTATAAATCTTGTTAATATTTTTGTGAAAGAAAAATCTGAAATAATCAACACATGTATATCATTCAGGTCAAGTGAGGTAAAAACATATTACATATATTTATATATTGGTGATTTAAAAGTAAGGGCACTCGCATACAATTTGCTCCGCTACAGTGGAACGATAACTCTGGGTAAAGATAGGGATTTTCCAGGAGTATAATTATGTACTCCTATTTCATAGGTTGACCTAGGATCTTCCTGACGACCCCTTCCCCTATTTTAACCAGGAATACATTTAGAACAAGGGCTGAAACTGAGTCAGTAGCTAGTTCTAGAAGAATGTAAATTTCTAAGTTTTTTTTTTCATCGAATAGGAAAGGTAAGGAAAGATTGGTCTCTTAATTCTTAAAAATTTCTCGTTAAAATTGTATTTGAGTTCACGTGTATGATAAAAAGTTTTTGCTCACAGAATTGCGTGTCTTTCTAATTAATGACACTTAAGATGTGCATGTATTTCTTCTGTCTTAACAAGGTATCCTTATCAAAACAGGTTTTACAGGAAAATAGGATATATCTTTTTTTCTCAAGCCAGCAAATAACACCGAACTGTTCGAGGGCAAAAATAAACAAAAAATCTTTGAAATAAGATCCACTGACACAAAAGGAAAAAAAAGCGTCAAAAACAAAAACTGAAAAAAGAAATTTATTTCCTTAACACCCCTCAGTTCGTGCCCTGTTTCCTCTGCACTCTGTCATCTCAGCGTTTGTAAGGTATGTAAGAAGACACCGTGAGACAAACACCTCAATGATAAAAGAAAAACCTCGGCCCCACGGATTTTCCTTCGTGCTTACTGAAAAGATTTCAAGGCATCTGAAATTTAACAGTATTTTACTTATCCCCGCTGATAACAGAGAGAGATACATAAATTGTGTTTTAATGGGGTATCTATTTACCTAGGAAAACCAGGGAACTGTCACAGGCCAAAGGAAGTCGGTGTTTGGTGATGAATCATCTACGGTAACCGTAGTATGCTTATTTGTGGGCTTCGTATTTCTCACTAAAAAAAGTGGGACGTGATGGCTGGTGATCTATATAAATATTTCTTTCATTTACCTTCACTTTTCATCATCTTGGACTCCTCCGTGCCGTCTTTTTTTTCTGTGACTTTGTACGCCCTGCATTTTTAATCCATTTTCTATATTTTTGCTAAGTTTAAAAGACACGATTTTTTTAAGTTTAAAAATGTATTTTTACTTCATTTGATTTTACAACTGTCCACTTGTTCTGGATGCTTATTTTGCGTACATGCTTCATGGTACCAGTCTGCCAACTTTTCACAAGACATTTTTTGATGTGGAAAACTATCTAAGCAATTGTAAGAAAATACACATAAAGCTTCTTCTACCACATTTGATAGATTAAGATGTTACAGATAATATATATTCACCAAAACATACTTTTAAATAGGTCTGTCCTTCCTTTGCCAAAAAAGAGGTTCATTTACACGACAGAGTGATTGAGAAATAAGATAACGTGGATATATTGTCGGAGACCAGTCAAACGTTACACAAAGAAGTGGAATACCTAATAGATTGTCTGGTTGACGGCCCTATATATATTATCCTCAATATTCTGTGTAGAAGGCTACCGGCACTCGTACTCAGTTGAGCTGATGCGAAATTCAACGAGATTGCACAGCAACATACTAGTACAAATCAATATTTATAACGTTTGCCATTAAAAATACGGAAAAAAGTCATTTTATGCTGGTTAAAAAAGTGTACATGTATTTATATGTTTTTAAATCAGGTCTATGAATTGAGAAATAAATTGTGTACTAGTGGAAAACACGTGAAATTACAATGTGACCCACATATATGTACATGTACGATATTTCAGATTTTTAAAACATACGTATCATTTATTTTATAATTCGTGATTTTTTTTAAATAACTGTGCAATAAATGAGATAATAAAAGTAATTATTTATTTGTAGAGTAATTATTAGTTTGTAAAGTAATTATTTATTTGTAAAGTAATTATTAGTTTCAAACCCTTGATAAATTGGTAAGCTAGGGCTTCAGTTTGAAAATCCTCATCTTCAGATCTGACGTTTGTTCTACCAATATTGCATGTCGAAAATCAAAATTGCTTTAAAAAGAGACAGTCTACATAAAGGGTGTATGAAAAAAAATCCTTCAGAAATGTTTCTGTTCATCAATACACTATAGTCAAAGCTTTATAGACCCCAAGGCTTCAACTTTTGCAATATTAATGTTGTCTCAGCAATATTTTTTTCTCGGTCAGTTCAGTCATCTTAATGAACCTTTTGTTGTGATCAATTTTTCAATAAAAAACATAATTTCTTATTATGTAAATTTTTATTATTGAATATCATTAGGTTATAATAATCAATAATAATACAAAGACATTTGTAAAACTACCAAAGGGACATTCAAACACATAAAATATGTCAGAGCGGATGTACATTTATCATTGTATCTATCGCGCCCCCGGCGGAGAATTACAAAAACAAGAAAAGATAACAACTTATGGTTTACTGAAAAACAAGTTGTCAACGTTATTAAAATATCTGTTGATGGTTTTGATCAGTTGATTTATTTTATATTCAGGGAATGTTTGCATAATGAGTCTATTTTTATTGCAGATTGTCATGTACCAGAACAATGGAAAAAGACGTTCAATGAATGTTGTTGTGCATGTGCATGTACGATTGCAATTTTATCTTGGAAGGTTACATACAATGCATTCGTATACAAAATTAATTTTTAAAATGATGTGAACATAGGAATGTGGACCAAACTGACACAATTTTACAATTCTGTAATGTTTTTTTCAATTAATGAGAAAAATATCGACAAAAAAACTGTAGGCTTCTGCAGTTATGTATGAAAGCAGCTTATTTGATTAGTCAACAACCCCACTCCACCCCCAAATGACAATCACATACACACATAATCATAAAAAATTACTTACAATGCTCGGTTAATTTTTCGTTCGTTTTAATATAAATATTGTAAAAATGTCCAAAAATTTCTAATCAGAGGTTTTCATTATTTCATATGGAAGACATGACACAAGATCTAGTGAAAAGAGATTTATGGAGAGAACAATCATAGGCATTTTTTATGCCTGCTGTTCAATCCATTTCTATGAATAAATATATTTTTAAACTAAAGAGATTTCCTGATAACATACATGTATATTGGTGTCATCAAAATCACAAGACATCTGAATACTGAATACACTAACAGAGCAAGTGTATATCTAGTCATTTACACTGTAACCCCCCTACCCCATTTTATGCCAATCTGGGATATGAATGTGGAAATAGCAGTTTGGAAGACAACGTTGTACGAACATGTATTACATGTATCTGTATATTTAGTACAGATTAATATTTGTTGGACTAATTTTCCAACATTTGAATTGAATGGAACATAAATAAAAAAAATCATTGTCCATGGACTATAATTTGGCAACAGTTCTTTTCTCTCTTCTCCCCAAAACAGTATAATAGCTACATGTAGTTTACACCAATGTCTTCAATGTCACCAAAGAACACTGTCTTTGGAGACTATATACATATTGCTTGTAGCCATGATCATAGAAACATGGGTGACATCAACGAAACATGAGTTCGTTCTATAGAAAACATCACTCATAAATGTGTTAATTGTAAACGTTTTCCATCATATCTCTATAGACGTGGGATAAAAAGAAATAGTAATAGCACTATAACAAGTATATAAGAACTGACTATAAATTACATGAACATGGTGAATGTAACACAGTTGTTAGTTTCTGCTAATAATTACAGTTTTAAACTGCATTTTTCTTCGAAGCAATTTATTGCTGATGTCAAATTTACGTTCCTAATTACGATCTCTGTGGAATCGATCACAACTGAATTCCCCAGTTTTAGCACCGTCTGAAACGCATTTTCCTTCAAGAGTTGTAATGCACTTGTCCAGACCTTTAGCATGTTTCTGACGGTCCAAATCCTCCCTCCAGAACATAATTACAGAAAGTAAAATGAGGTGTATTATTTCGATCAAGAGGATCGTTTCTGTGAGACTTTGTCAGTTGCGCACCTTTCATTTTGCTTTGTCATTCGCACGCTTTTTATTTTGCTTTGTCAATTGCACGCTTTTCATTACACAGCTATCTCATTCCACGTCTGTTTGCTGTCGGCTAGTCAGGCCGTCGTCTCAAACTGCTGAATTCTATAAGCGTCGTGCAAAAGTTTGGCAACATTTCCATTCGGAACATTCGTGCGACCGTTTGGAATATTTCCATTCGGAAGTTGAGTTCTTCCGTTCAGAGTCTGTGTTTCACCCAAAGTCTTATCGTGACCTTGGTATGTTTGAAGCTGTAAAGGCTGGCCGTTCGGAACACTATTTAGTTTTGGACCAGCAGAAAGCTGTCTTTTGAAAGCTTGATTTTTGTGAATAATGTTATTATTATTAAGATGTCCATTCGGAATGTTTCCGTTTGGTACTCCATGAGAAGATGGAGAGGTGGGTTGAGATGATCGAGATGGATGCGTTCCGAATAGAATCCCATTAGGACTGGGATAAATAGGAGTGGGTCGAGCAATCGCACCAACATTATCAAAGTGAACGGGAGCACTTCCGGAACGGTTCCCGCTGATGTGTACCGGATGACTGTTTGACGTCGGTTCCGAATTTTCTCCGGTTTGCAGTCCGGACATGGAATGATGCTGCTGATGGATGATATTCGAAGAAGGTGGAGGATGTCCAGAAGGATGCATTTGCATTGGACGCCCATTCGGAATATTTCCGTTTGGAGTCTGCTGTGAAAGTGGCTGACTGCCATTGTTATTGCCATGATGTCCAACTGCGTGAGATCGATGGTGCAGACCACCATTTTGCTGTCCTGTTGGTGGTTGATATGGGGGAGGTGGGTAATTCTCGAGGATATACGGTGGAATGTTGGGCGTTCTGTGTTCTCGGAGATGATTAGGGTTCATCGAAACTCCTCGTACGTTATGTCCATGCATGACAAGCTGAGTATTGATACTCTCGTAGCTGCGTCTGTCCGGAATCACCTCATAATAGTTCTCTGATCCGCTAGATTGACTATGACTATATTGAGAGTCCGAATGTTCTCTGTCGGACAACGAAGGGTTAACGTAAAAAATATCTTGTGTCATCGTTGCTTGAGATGACGTCACTGATCCACCTTTCTTCTTCTTGTTCTTTCGCCTGATTCTACCGAAAAAGAACAATACTCCAAAAACAATGGCGGCGATGGTAGAAATTCCACACAACACTCCCAGAATGACTACAACCACGACATCCGGATCACTTTTAATGATTTCCGGGTAAATCGTTTTAGAAAGCGGATCTGCTTCACATTTCCCGTAATATCCGGTCACATTGAAATAATAATTCATATTCAGCATCCTTGTACTTGACGAGGCACCACATCTACTAATAGCGAAATACCACGTGCGGGGACCGTCGGATTTGAAAGTCCGGTCACCCGTGCAGACATACAAATTCGTCCCCTCGCTGTCAGGGTAGACAATGCAGCCTTTAGTAGCATTCCGAGTGGACAACGGGATGACCTGATAATTATGCTTTGGAAGTACGTCCACACGTTCCTGGCACGTCATGGAGTCGGTCAGCTGAGAAATCTGGTCGTCATAATAAATCAACAGATTAGCACAGCATTCCTTTTCCGGATAGGTGATCTGATACTCCACTTTAGCGTCCTTTCCCTGAAATGTTTTCTGTAGCATGTATCCGTACCACGGCAGCCTCGTGTTCACTTGACCTTTGATGACGCATTGTTCCGCGGAGGTCATCACGGCAAATACTGTACACATAACGAGAATCTCGCGTAGCATCTCCATCTTTTTACCGGAACTGCTTGTTTTACTCTCTAGTCTTCATATGCTCGTCGTCCGTTGGTCTTTGTTGTTGATCAGTGTTCTGAAATAAAATCGGAAATATTTTTAAAATGACTGTACCCGATAAAAATACTTTTCTATATTGGATTAAAGGTATATGGGTTTTTATTCTTTCTGTGAAACATTAATCTATGACAATCCCTTATTAAAAGGACGAATTAATTGTTAAAAGACTTAAGCAGTGTTTCAGATAGATGCCTATAGTACCTATTATCCGATTATATATGAGTTTTTTCCCACACAAACACTAGCAGTGAAAGTTTAAGAATATTCGGAGTAATCCGGAATTATTCACCAATACAATACGTGACAGGGTACTGACGTGAAGTAATTGATAGTTATCTCCCCCTTATATAGCTATTTATCGCCCCTGTTTTATTTAATGTTACACAAAGGATCTATTTTAGTAAGGGATTTATACATTGTAGCAAGACATCTAAATGATTATTAAAGGTTTTGCGTCAATCGAATTGACAACTGTTCAATGCGTTTCATAATACGAATTAGGAGGTAGGATTTTATACAATGACAGAAATAATATCTTTTATTGTTGTAAACGATTAAATTTAGGGATAAAAAAGACGTTGCGTGTAACTAAATCTACCTCGTCGTTGGTAGATAATATTCTAAGATAGGATTTTACAGAAAAATTTCATGAATATTTCACTTATTTGTTTGCACAATCCTCACTTAAAAATACTTCTGAACAATATATGAATCTAAATATAGGTTAATTCCAAATATATTATCAAAGATGATTTAAAGACTCGCATGCAAGCTCAGTATTATTTTTATATAGTCGCCGAAGACAAGATAACCACGTTTTACCCCCTACCAACATGAATGGACATTATCAATAAATATGCCATTAATATAAATGACGAATACCCAAATCAAATTCAGATGCATCTTCCTTTTATGTCAGGTATCGCTATTAATTTAAATTAAAACTTTGTAAATAATAAGTACAGTACATGATCCAGTCCATGAAATTGTACTACATGTAACTATTTACAAGAAGTTCCTCTGCTAACTATAGGAAAACCATGCAGTTGAAAAAAATTAAGAAATACACATGTACTATAGAAAAATCACCTTAAAATGTCCTAATAATTTGCTGTACTCTGTCCATATATGTTCCTAACACTCTGTCCCCCAAAATACAAAAGAAAACAACATGCTTTTCACAGACTAATAAAAAAAACTTATTAGTCCATGTGTGACTGATAATTTAATGGACCGTGTCCATTGGTGATATGCATGGCTGGCGGGGACAGGTGATGGTCAATTGTTCCAGGTCAGACGATCCATCTATCACGGGGTTATTTATGTTTACAAGGTCTGTCTGTCACCGGACTAAAAATACACAAAGAATATGACAGGGTATAATAAGACATGTGAATGTAATTTCACGAAATAAATTGCTTTCAATGCATTTTTTTTCAAGTAAGAGGTAAGGAGGATAATTTTCTTAATTTGTTTGATGTATATATACATCAAACAAAATAAGACTTATTAACAAGACTTCAATTTTATTAGACTGAACTACAAGTAGTAGTGCTATTTTGATACAAGAATTCTCGGGAATTAAATGTATTTTTGAGAAAATCCTTGTCTACAAAATTAATTAAAATCGGTCTCAGAGCACCTTACACTTGGTATATTTTTTCATTGATTAAACAATATCAAAAAACCTAAAAGTGTGATAGTAAAGTAACCCTTGAAATAATTAAATGATCAGAACATAGACTTTTTTTCAAAAAAAAAAAAATGTTGGAAATGGTATGTCCATAATTAATAATAATATAAGTACAGTATTCATTTAATGTATTAAATATATTATTTTATAATTCAAGAAATATAGAGGAATATGATTTTTCAAGAGAATTGACTGATAGATTTATGAAAAAGAAAATAAAAATTTTATATTGTTGTCACCGCTCTCGAACTTGAAATCGTATTAAGATATGTATTATGCAAATCATAGATTCGTTAATCTATTTTGTCCTTTCCCAGTGCGATGCATGCCGAGATCTTGTTGCTATAACATTGTACGGTTAGTTAGCACAATGTCAGATTTTATCTTGCATGCAATGATCGCCTCTAACAATGTGTAGAACTGTAGCATTTTCCACATTATCACTGAAGCGTGTAAAGTATTAAAAGGATCGTTTAAAAAAATAACTGGCATTTTTGACAAGTCTACTTAACTATAAATAAGCTGTTATTTTGAACTACTTAAAATAATGCATCAAATTTGTAAAAAATTGTATCGTAGCAACTTAAATGTCGGGATCTCATGTCAAAACAAATAAATAAATATTTAATGGCTAGCAATTTTTCTACATTAGTATAATTTTGATTGCATTATTATTCAAGGAAATCATGACAAAATTTTCTGAATACTTTCAGTTAGTAAAAACCAGACCATCTATGAACATTTGCAAATAACAACATGCTTGTATTCAACAAGCATCAAATCAAATATTACAAATTAATCACTATGTAAAATTACTGTTTTATATTCACAATGAAAAAACAAAACCTGATTTTTAAAAAAATCATATATACCGGTTTTCTCTGCTCAAAACAAAGCCTTCAAGTCAAAACATAATGAGCATTTTTTAAAAGAAAGCACGTTTTTCTTTTCTCGTTATAAAGATACTGTGACACACGAACAGCAATCAACTTTGCAATAAAATATATGATTTACCACAATCCCTGAATTAGAATATTCCCTATCCTCCCGTTCCACAACTAGTCGAACCAATCGAAAAATCCCTCAATTGTCACCAGGAGAGAAAGACAGAAATCGGCTTCTAATATCGAGATTTCTGGGGGAAATGCAGACATGATCTGTTGCCATGACAACATGGATTTTTTATGTGTTAGGTCACAGGGACAAGCAATGCCTTCCTTTTATACAAGAAGCACTGACGTTTATAGCAGAAATGAACATATTGTCCAACAAGAACTCTGTTCTGAAGGGTCAACGCAATCAACTACAGTTTGCATTTATCATTGGAAGTGGCGGATCTAAAGGGATGTTAGCGAAATATTTAAATATGACTGTATAGGGCATATTCTGAAATGTAATAACTATAGGCTTCATATCATGAAAAAAAAAATGTCACGTGAATGGATATTGCTATAAAAAATATCATGTTATAAGAAATAATTACTGCTGATTTTGTTGTTCGTTTTGTCATTTTTTTATTTCTCCAATTCATAACAAGTAAAGCGTATATACATGCCTTGAACAGCATTTCAACCAATGAAATAATTGAAAATTTTCTCATCATGCAATTTCTACCAATCACAAAAGAGAGGAAGTGCATAGTCCGAAGACTGTAAAAAACTTCAACTACCGTAAATCTGGAAATTTTTATTGTAGATAAATTTTTAGCAAATTTGCGCGTGCATTGCATTCGCAAAAATATATTTCTTAAAAATAAATCAACATGTGAAGAATTTTTTTTTCTGAGAACTCGTGTCTTTTTTTTTTAACTCCGTGAAAAGGTGTCGGTAAGCACTGGTCATTTTTAAAAGAAACCTGTTTACACTAGTCTGCTATATAACTACAAGTTAATTACCCGTGCGTGTAAATTGCCCTCATTATATGCAATAATGATTTGACCAGCACTAGGCGGTATGCCCCCTTTTATTAATTATTTTCATCAATTAATTTTAAAGAGAGAACTGTCATTTTATCTAACCGTGTATCAACACGAGCGATAACTCAAACTCAGTGCATTTACTAGAAAGTTCCAAATGTACACGCGGCGTGTAAAATTTAGGTGAGTAAAAAACAAACGTTGAGATAATAAGTTTTTTTTTTTATTTGGATTATATTTTAGGTTAAAAGGCATACACAACCTCTAAAATGTTTGTTATAATTGATTTATAAATTATTTTCAGTGCAAATCCTTTTGGATTTTTATCAAAATTGTTTCGGAGCGATTTTGCAATTTTTTGCCACGTTGCGAGTATATTGGTGGTATTCTAACTGGCAAACATAACCTGATATGAAAATCTTCAGTGATTTTTATTTTTAGCACCATTGACAATTCGCAAAAATTTGAAGCGTAAAAATTAATCAATAGCTTTTTGACCCTAATTCGCAAAAATAAATCGACGTAAAAATTTCCAGATTTACGGTATACAATACCGTCTTCCAAGAAAGACGGTAATCATTGGAAGTGGCGGATCTAAACGGATGTTAGCGAAATATTTAAATATGACTGTGTAGGGCACATTCTGAAATGTAATAACTATAGGCTTTATATGAAAAAAAAAGTCACATGAATAGATTTGAATATTCTCGGTTATGTTATTTCTCCAATTCATAACAAGTAAAGCGTATATACATACGTGTACTTTCCCCAGAAACAAACATTGATATAGGCCTATTCTTATGCTGTATGTCATATTTTTAATTCACCCCCCCCCCCCCCCCCGTGCATACACACATACACACAGAAAAAGAAAAAAATATGGAGTTGTACATTACTAGTACACTGTATTTCGTATTTTGTAAGGTCATATTATTATGTTGGAGAGAGGAAATTCAATTTGCATGGGACAAAATTCGTTAAGTTTGAAAAACAACTTTACTATATAGTATTTAATGACCCCTAATGACAATGTTTACGGTTAGAAGAGTCCCTATATCCACCTGATAAGACACGACCCGTGGTGGACACGAATGTCGTGGGGTAGATACCTGGATTTATTTACCTGTGTACGTGGGGGTTGTTTGTATTAGCACGTTTGCTGAATACACATCTTTATAGAGCTCTCGGCTCCTATATATACATATAGATAAGAAAACTACATTAGAAAGTGGTAATAATGAGAGGTTTGTCTGCTGATACATATTTTGCTTGTAAGAAGTTAACAAATTTATTTAAGCATAAAATTACGAATAAATCTTTTACAGAGTAGGCATGTTCTGAAGGAAACTGTGACAATACCTTTTTTTCTGAAAAAAGTACATGCTCATGACAAGTTCTTTACCCTTTACTGAAATGAAATATGACATAAAAATATATGTACAAGTATATTTATTATAGTATAGTTTAACTGTTTAAACTTGGGGGTAATTTCTTTTTTACATATACAGAAGAAGGAAATGAACAAAGAAAATAAAAATGAAAAAGTAAATCAGAAAATGGTTCTCAAAAGTATACAGTGGCGGATCCAGGAATCTTGAAAATGTGGACCGGATAAATATGGGATCGGAGCACACAACCATCCCCCATTGATATATTTAATCATATGTATCTTTGGACACTAAGGGGGAGGGAGACGACCCCCTGGGCCCGCTCTAATTTCGCCATTGGTATATGAACAAACTTCGGGGAAAAAGTTTCAAATAAAAATTGAGAAGATGGAGGGCATGAAGGAACAAGAAGTCAAACACAACAGATCACAGGGAATGGTTGCCTACTTCATGATGAAACACCGGCCATTATTTACCTAATATATACAACCAATGACAGAAAAACCACTAACTCCTCGATAAGCATGGCCAGATTCGCTTTATTCCTCCGAACATCCCTTCACGCATATAAACGACAAATTATCTAGCGAATCTCCGTACACAGGCCACATAAAAGACATTATTATTCAATCCAGCACAAAAATTTACAAAGACCGGCTGTATACATAATTAAGTAGCTGATCCTAAAACTTCGTCAACAGATTGGGGTAATGGATTCAGGTTTTCATTTTTCTCTTATTGGGAGTCGACGTTTTTATAACTTTATTCTCGAATATTAATTTGTCTGTATTAATATTAATTAAGAAAAAACATGGGAGATTAACAAATACGAATGAAGTCCTGTGTTGTATACGTACTAACTTGAGGCAATAAACTTTTTGTTTTGCATTCGCAGAATTTTATGCCGAATAATGCATATTAATTTTCATTAAAATATATTTTAAATAAATCACATTCAGAGCGACTAAAAAATAGCCTAAAAAATATCAAAAATGTCTGCATTTTGACATATGGCATCAATAAACGATTGAATCTTTACAATCAAGAGTCAACATTTAAAGTTTCCTATAGCATCGCGCTTCCTAACCCAAAAATTATGTACGATTCAAATGGAACTTTTGAAGACCAAAACCATCAGCATATTCTTGCTATTTTCGCCAATGAATTGAAACCTTTTATGCAAATATAAAAACATGGGGTATATTGTGAACATTACTGAATGAAAAATCCTGATTTTCCACCAAAAAAAACATGAAATTACAAACCTGTTGCGATGTTTTCTCAATACGATAAAGTCCACACCCTAAACAAACTATAATGTTTAAACCAACAATCCATTTACTCCGGAATAAGAGAGAATATGTCCGACATATGTACCGTCAGATTCTGGAATATTTAGCCTGAACCTCTGTTGAATGTTGACGGGCAATCGAAGAAGCAAGGCCAAACAAAAAGCTCCAATTACAAAAACAAAATCCCTTCTCTCTGATAAAGTTAATTCCAAAGTGAAGGCATAATTTTCCTTTCTTCCATAATTCACATAGCACATATGATGGGTAAAGAGCTAGACTATCTGTAAAATTTATGTCTACACGAGCCGAGAGAAAAAGAAAGGGGACCGTTTTTCTATCGCTATGTCAAGATTTTGCTAATACACGTGTGATAACGCTGAATTAATGAGGTCTTCTTTCACCTTTACATCTGCCATTAAAATTCCGTTGAATCGGACGATTTTTACCTGTATAACCAAGTTTGATTCTTGGGGTCAATGATACGCTTTACTGATCTTGGAGATAACACATACCAAATGAAACATTCGTGAGACATTGACAATGGTAATTTAACAGCCATAATGTGCGATTGTGGTTATATTTATAATGTATCGAATTTTTTGTCAAATTTTGCGCCATAAAAATTTTATATCTACATTCGTACCAGGTACCCTAAAACTTTTCTCCATTTCTCTTTACTTTGACGGTTTAATCATTATGATCAGGTGAGCGATTTTGTGTAAAACTCCAATTTAATGCTTCACATCCCCAAGCATAATATTTTATCATGTTTATGTTCCACTTACTGAAGAAATGATGTTACCGCCATTTCCTTTTATTTGCTTTTTTTCAATTTACATTCATTAGCTATATTTATCCACCAAAAATCTCAAACGTACATAAAATTTAGAAAGAGAATTTTTAATAAAAAGAATTTTTACTTACATGTACCATCTTTTTAGAAAAAATCATCAAAATTGATTATGAAAAGATATGTAAATATCAAAACTGAAATTATTAGATTCATTTATAAACTTTATGAACTTATATAACATTAACCTGTATCCTCATATATTCTGTTAGATATTAATTTTAGCAATTTTTTTTTATGAAAGGTGGGGTATTTTTGAAAATTGTATGCATTTATTTACCTCTATATATCACTGTATATATTTATGCTGGAGATCCGTCTTTTCGGTGCCTGGAAAATAAAAACAAACAGAATTAAACATCAATTTAAATTATCTATTGATCTTCCATTATTTTTTTTTTGGGGGGGGGGGGGGGTGTTCTTGTGTATTTCCCCACTCAATATACCAAAAAGACTACCCCTGCTATCATAACACAACACCACGATAAGTGCACAAGCACACGATCACAATAATACACCTAATTTGGACATATTTTTCTTTTTTACCACCAAGTTACTGGTGCCCATGCAGTTATATTTCCCAACATACTTGTCAAAAATTGTGGCCGATGATTTTTTTAAAAATTGAATTCAAGTTTACAAAACTATACACAGCTTTTCATACATTAGTTGCATGTATGTATATGGAAATAAACAATAATTTTACATTCACTCTTTATCAGTACCACAAAGCCTACCAAGCAAAAGCTTATTTACCATTGAAAAGATTTTTTTTTTAGAAAAAGAACAAAAAATCCTTACTTCGCATATGTATGTGAACTCTGAACTCTAATCATGTCCAAAACTAGTTTAAAAGTGTCCCAGAAATGTCATATCACTTTTCCCTCGTGTTTATCGCTGTTTACACAAACAGTTAGCCTGCTGTTTACCTGTTGATCGGAGTTAATCCCCTTGTCAACACAAAAGGGCGGGATAATACCGAGGTAATCCGGTGTTGTATTGTGCGTATGAACACACTACTCGGAACCCCTTTTGTTTTCGTTTTTATCACAACATTGTCACATACAAGTGAACTTGTGTAAAGTGTTTTTGTTCCTATTTTCTACAAAAAAGAGTGTTTTTTACGGCTTGGGAGATTATTTTGTAGCCAAAGTAAAATTCTTCTTATTTGTATTGAGTGTTGCATCATCAAATAAATGTCAAGTGAAAGTGTGAAAAATGGAGGAAAAACAAATAAATGATCACTACACTTAATATGTCAAAAGTGCAGTTTGTAAAAAAAAAAAAACTCATATGCATATATAAGATCAAAATCAGTAGCAAATAGGAATTATTGAATTAAATAAAATATAATATGGACGAAAAACTATCTAAATGAAATGAATTAAGTTTTCGGGGAAAAGAATTATTAAGAATCCAAATTAATTGTTACCTTGGATTAGGATATTCCAGGGTAAACAAAATATATGTACATTCACTGGTGTATAACCAATCTAAGTAAAGGTAGTGTATGTATCATAGGATTCCCATTGTCAGAGAGCATTACCAATATGAACTTGGTGAGGTCTGAATCCCCCTGATACAAAGGGCGTTAGGATCAAGATGAAGGCATAATTACGATAAAAGCATAACAAATCGGGAGATAAATTTCCAATCGAAAATTAATTATGACAGATCATTGTTTCAGCGTGAGTGAACATTCACAGAAGCAGACGATAGATCCACACGTGACTGGCTTCTCTAATGGATGAAACAGCTGTGAAGCAGATGTCTGATGTCCGTCTGTTGCGGAAGAAAAATCACTTCCCGAGCCCCGGAGAAGTTCGGTGAAAATGGACGAATATCTCGCCGACTACGGAAAAGCGTAAAATCTCTCAGATAATTTGTCTTTTGGATCGCCACAGTAATGCACAGACGACATGATAACGATATCCGCACACGGAGAAGTTCCAGGGTTCGTTAAATTCCAATTAAACACATTCCTCGTTTCTCTGTCCATTTGTTTTCATGACGCTGTATTTTCACGAGTAGAAATTTCCTAGCTATAGCGTGAAGCGCATACATGTAGTAAAGACCTTTTGGTTTGAGTCATTTATTACAAAGTTTACATTGCAATCATCAGTTTTTCAGGTACAGCATTTTTCATCACACGTTTCTTCAGAAACAAATTGATAACTTGCAGTTACAGCAGTCGAAGCTGTCCATTTTTTCTCAAAGTAAGGACTTAAAATACAATGTGCATGCATGGAATTCCTAACAAGTCTGTTAACCGCAACATTTTGTCAACTGAAAATCCATCCAATACTCCTCGTAACCTTTAATTAAGCGCCATTAAAAACATGGCCACCTCAATAAAGAAAGAAGAGCCGGAAGGCAAAAAGTCTCAATCGAATTGTCTCTAAATCAATTAGCGTCCAGCGCCATGTTTACCATGCTAAACACAGTCAAGTGTGGACGCCATAAAGACCACAAATAGCCCCACAATAGGTGTATTTATTTAGAATTGATTTAGTTTGTCCTAAGCTGGACAAAGGTTTGCTCTTATTTACCCAGTAAATCCCCTTTAATCTTGTCGAAATCGTGTAAATGTTTAATATCAAAGCTGGGTCGGGATCGATATGTAATAAATTGTAATAACAACGCCATGTCATATGTCACAGAGAGACAGCTGTACAATAAAGGTCTTTTGATTGGTTCAGATGCAGATTAATTCGTTAGGATGCTCGGTTTTTTGAAGTCTATATTTAGGTTTTCTAGCTATAATTATTATTCTCACAGACCGAATGTTATTAAATTCATGGAAATAATGTCAACTTCAAAGGCAAAAATGCTGAAGAAAACTTTGTATGTTTATCCAAAAAAAATTATGCTACTGTCTGTCCTTCTTTATATATTTTCCCCACTCATTTTGTCCTTAATCTTCTGTCATGATTTCTATATTGTATATGTACGTATGTATCTTTGACCTGACTGTAAATATTGTATATAACGTAAATATATGTTATTAATGCACGTGTACCCGATGTACCAATAGTTTGGTCTGGGTGATATGAACTGAACTGAATTGTGATGTTTTTCACTTGTCTGATATTTAAAAAAAGGGAAAATAGATCCTGATTATATAAGAGAGATGATTATTTAGTTATTTCAGGAATCCATGACAATTTCATTTGATTCAAAAGCACACGGATAAAATTGAAAAAGGGAAGCTATTTGCAGAGAAGATGCACAAATATTTATTTAATAAAATACAATTTACTACGAAACGAGCAAATTCTGTCTTAGATTAAAACTTCACTCATCATTTTCAGAACAGAGAGTCGATTTTCATCTTATAATTGAAAAAAAGTTTATCTGATAAAATTGTTTTATTTTGATCTGCTAGCCACACACAAAATATGACTCTCGTACCCCCTCGTCCTTTACCCAGTCCATAATGTGATATATCTCAAATACCCATAGAAAACCACATCACCCATAAATCAAGGTAACAAAGATGGGTATAAAGTTTACAGCCTGTGATTCATCTGTCATATAATACGAAATTTACCTAAAAGGGGGGGTTTAAGTGTTTGATTACGGACGAAATGACTTATGGCAGGTGCGGATCTATGTATTTGACATTCAAAATGCCCAGAAGTCAAATCAGTGGAAAGTCATGAAGGATATGTGATTTTTATACATTTACAAAGAAAAATACTGTGCAGAAAATGCTTACAATGACGACAAACAATAAAAATATGGGAGAACCTTAAAAACTTCATTCAATTTTACGTACAGATTGAAATATAAGTTCAAAACCACAAAAAGATCACAAAGCCACACCATTAAACTTAATTCCCACAGACATCTGCCCTAAACAAAAACATTCTAAAGACCTAAAAGCACCTTGCTCACCTGAGGTACAGATGATTTTATTTCAGTCATACGACACGAATCTCTAACCAAACATCACAATGGACCTATCTCTGATTACATGTAATTATCCGCAATATATCGGCACGGAGTTCACCATACAGATAGTGTTACATATAACCCCCAAACCTCGCCGTGCCGCGAGATGACGCGGTTCACCATTAATGTCCATCATAGTCGACAACAAGACCTAGATGAAACGTATTATTGGAATAGAAGGACTTAAAGTGCATGAATATGAGAGAAAAGAGAGGGGGGAGAGATCACTTCCTTCAAATTTTAACAATTACATTTTATTCACAGAAGTGGATGGAACTGGGTCGCAGACTCAATCTATTTTAGCTCTTCATCAAGGTCAAGATATGGATGAATGCAGAATTTTTATAAATTGAACAAAATACAAAAATGTACCGATGAAGAAAAAAAAAGATATTAATACAATAACTGTAAACAACCATGCAATTTAGACACCTTATAAATCGGTTGGCCGGGGATTTTATTTTCCATATAAAGTTAATGCAAAACTGCAGCCATTAATGTCTACAGAATAGAACGCACCAAGTTGACCCCTCTGGCTGGACAGGTATGGACATTTTATAATTACTGTAATCCGGATCTATTTCAGCGGTGCGAAACATAAAATTCCCTTATTTAATTAACACTAAGGTTCAACGGAGTGTCATATTAAGAAAAAAAAATGTATTGATCTGCTACTACAACGAAAGACTTACTGAAAGTCATCACGACACGAATATGCTTGACAGCGGGTTGTCTTTGAAGAAACGCAGCCGGATGAGAGGACATGGATAAAGGGGAGATAAGCCTGGGTAATTTGAAATTAATGCCTTACCACTTGCAAGCCTTTTTCCTCAACCTTAGGGAAAATAATTAAGAAATTTATATAAAATTTATCCCCCGAGAGTGCATGTTTGTGACAGAAATACTAAACTTAATACTAAAAGAAAACTTTAAGCTTCACTGTATACCTGAATGTGTGCGCCATTGAACGAGATGCCCGAAAGTCCCAAAATGTGAATTTTAGATGTAATAGTTCATTTCATAAAGGTTATAAAAACCAGAATTTTAAAATCGTTGGTATTTATAGAGAACCCATGCTTATATGTATTTAATTTATTTACAGATAATTACACACAATGACGGTCTGAAATTTAAGAAAAAAGTTTTAATTTGTACATGTAGAAATATTATGGATGGATGCGTAATACAAAAATGCAACATATGTTTTTTTCCAATTATTTTACTAAAAATCTTAAATTCTGCAGGTAAAAAAACTCAAGACTGATTTTAAAAAAATTCAATTTGATAAAACGAAGAAAATGATTCCCCCCAATAGAAGCGTTGATAAAAAAAATGACAAGTGCTTTTATTGATCGTGTAACACTCAAAGTCAATAAAATTAATAACAGAAATCACCTGTTTTATAAAATATCGACAGACATTCTGAGTGCATTCCTGGTGTGCGGGGAAACAGAGTTTAGCAAGCTATATTTACGGGTTTCAAACAATACCTAAGAATCCGCGGATTTTCATGTTAACACATTTTTTTTAATTTAATTTAAGAATAACATGACAGTGAACAGTCACCATTTAGACTTTCCGTATGACCCGTTTACATTTTGACCAGCCATGTGACTCATTTACAATTTGACCTTTCCTGTGACCCATTACACTTTGACCTCCAATGTTACTCATTTCAATTTGACCTTTAATATGACCCATGATACTTTCACCTTTGATGTGACCCATTACACTTTGACCTCCAACCTAACTCAATACACTATTCAATATAATAAAACAGAGCACTCTGAATACCTACTTCAAAATAAATTATAAAAAAAAATTCTTTGTTTTTTGTTTGTTTGTTGGGTTGTTTTTTTTTTTTTTTTTTGCTCCTAGCAATCTTAGTACTTTTTGCAGGTTGTGACGTAATTTTAATCCATATAGAAAATTAATAATTGCTTTAATTTCCTTTTTTTTTTTATCTATTTTACATGCATACCTGTTGTCCGCGTAGGAAATTTTACAACACGCACAAAAAAAATGAAAAATGAAAAAGACGTCCCATAGCTTTGCATACTTTGGCGGTAAATAAGAAATCTTAGTTCTCAGACCATCAAAGAATATAAACCATTGCTTGTAATACAGTTCTCATCTCGCTTTGAATGAGCTCATGAATAGAGCTCCTGTATGACTGCAAGTTTATTTAAATATCACAGCCCTACATGTTTTATCTGAATATTTACTTGAGTGTAAACATCATTACGTAAGGTGGGGAGACTAATTAATTCTGTGCATGGACGCATATTGAACGGATTGTCGCTTCTAAAGTTTGAAAGTACACTGAGAGATCAAAAATCCTACTGATGAGATGTTTTACCTACATGGTTAAACAAAAAATCGAAAGATTAACAGGATATTTTTAAGTGTTTCTCATTTTTTATTCATTATCAGCCTAGTTTTCATTTTGCCGTTTGATGTATGCATCATATTTTGAAATCAAGATCAAAATTCAATTTTTAAGTACAACGACAAAGGAGTCCTGCATAAAATATTCATTAAGATAACATGGCGATTAGAAACTAGATCTCTCGCTCCTCTCCGTCCAAAAGATAACTTTGTTTTAGAAAACAAAATGGACGCGGAGGTGCCGTAAACGGTAATTACAGAATGTCGTAAACCATGATACAAATCTTTAAACGGCAATTTCCAAGTCCTTATAAATATTCATTTGGCTTTTAAGAACATTTCACATTGGCCATAAAGGACAACCTTTTTTACCGATGAAAACTATGACTTTTTTCGTTAAAACGATGACCCCTCATGTTTGCGTTGTCTTTTAAGGGATTTTTATTGGAAATTTGGGAGGGGGATGCATTCTTGGATCTGTAGCCACAAAAAAAATTTAAAGTTTAATCCAAAGAAGCTTGAAGGATCGATTGATAGTAATAGTAAGCAATGTTTAAATGAAGTACTTTTTTTTATTAAACCAAAGAATTGCTTAAGATATACATGTACCATCACGCGTAACTAGTTTGATAAATATTATTATTTACTACATTTGTTCGGTAATATTTTTTTAAATCGGATTTGGAAATGATTCATCTATAAAATAAAAGTTTGACGGTAAATTCTTATTAAAGAGCTTAACTGAGGCAAAAACAAAATGCATGCTTTACGAAATTATTCAATTTATATAACAAGCCTGAAGCACAACAAATAACAGAAAATAGTTACAAGTGTTCGTGGCAAAAATTTCCTGTTTCATATGTATTTG